AATCTCACCCATAGACAATAGTGGCTCCCATTAGCCAAAGGCCCCAATTACCATGAAGCCCTGAGAACAAACGCAATCAGGAGCTGCTACACTTCAGCAGCCAAGAAGCCCTATCTTCATTGTGTGATGCACCTGCCACATATATCCACCTAGGATCACACTAAACAGCGCCATATTGATGTGATGAACACTCGGACGTGCAAAATAGGCCAAGGTAGTCATTTAAACATGAGGACATCTTAAATCCACTTAAACCTTTAAAACCTTGGCTCTCTAGGTCACTTTTTTTTTAGGAAGGTACCAAAGCACATCCCATGATGTGCTTAAGGAAAGCAATGTTCCTTCCTACATCTACACCCTCATATATACCCATACCTGATCCAAATTCACTCCAGACAAGACATATGTTCTTTGTGTTTAGAAATCCAGTAGCCTGAGGATGTCGGCCAAGGAGGAAGCACACCCAGAAAGTATGCTAAAAGATGGCAGGGATCTGGTTAAACATGATTACTCAGAACAACTGAGCTGCTATCACAGAGTAGTACTGTATGGGCAAGGGCTGACCTCCATTTCTAAATTACATTAATATTGCTGGAGGAACTAACTATATAAGGAAGTGGCACTGAAAATTATAATCTCTAACTGGTATCAATGAGGCACTGTTAAAAGAAACTATCTCACTGACAGTAGTCATTACCACACAGATAATATGCTGCATACTATTTCAACATGTTCAGTGCTGTGTGGGGGGTGGCATCATTATTCACCTGCTTCACCTATATGACATGGTATGGGTATTTTGTGACATTGATTTTAGTTTGGCGATCATCATTGTGGTGCCAGCTGTTAGCATCTGAATAAAGCTGTTTTCTTATGCATTGTAATTCAGTGTTGTTTTCTGCTATTGCCCTGTAGCAATCAGTAATTCTGTACAAAAAGAAAGCAACAGTGCAATTAACTTCTGACAATAGTATAAATTTTGGCTTGTTAAAACAAGGATTATTAATATTCCCAGGATAATCAGCCTAACCTAGTTTATACGATTGTAAAGTATAATAAAATACATACAGCCATGAAAATCTGATAGCAAATATTAAAGCTCACATAAAGCAATAGAAAATTTGGAATGAAAATATAATAAATTGATGGTCTTTAATAACACTTCAGAGTGCTGGAACTCTTGCATTAATTTTAAAGGCAGCAACAGCACCTACTGTATAATGATGATCATAATCTCTCACACTCTGAAATCAAGACGACAGCACAAAAACCCTTGCCATTAAACAACATGAGGTTCTGCTTTGTGGCTGAAGTCTTCATTGTCATAATTCTATTTCCCCCCCTTTTATTAGACTGTAAGGCACAATGTAGTCTAATTGTTTACTATGATCCACTCCATAGCAAAAAGCCGAAGAGCCTTACTGAGTTATTTCTGCACCAAACATATAACTAGCCATGAAAAATTAACTGTAGAGATTTCCTCTTTTGTTCTTGAAAAAAATAAAACACTACAAGGGATTAATAAAATCTATTTCCACTCAATAATGCCTCAGCCTAAAATCACTGGTTTCTTCTGTAATGATGCTGGTGATGTGGTTTGCAGCACAGCTGGCCCCCATGAAAAAATATTTATTGTTACAAGTAAAGCAGTAGAGATCACCTGTACAGTACCAGAACACAGCTCTATCACTACCTTGTGATGATCCATTGTATTTAATTAAGTGTGGTTTCTGCAGTTTTCACCTGTGCCAATTCAAGCGTGAGTGCTGGAAATTACCAGTCACAAAGGAACACCACTGGAGAAAAAGAAGGAACAAAAAAAGACAAACAGTTCAATACAAGCTTCATGATGACAACACATTCTGAGATCCAGCAGGTTGCTGCCTGGTCCATGCAGGAAAATGATGAATGAATGCTGTTTAACATTTTGCTTGAACAGTTTTTCCTTTCAGAAAACTATTTGCAATACAATAATGAGAAAAGCAGAGCTGTGAAGAGAAGCATTTTATAAGGCTGATTACCTTTCTAGAGCATATCATTTGATACACGCTTTGTTTATCCAGAGTGAATTCAGTGGTTAAAAAGATTAATTGAGCCTATTTTATGTTACTTGTACATGCTCTCACAGAGGAAGTGTCTTGTGTTTTTTCTTACTGACTCATGCACAAGAGCCTGCAATTCACCAGAAACAACAAAATTACTTTTCTAAATTTAGCAGTTCATAAATCTTACAGGATGCCAACCCATTCGGTGGTTTTTTTTTTTTCCCTTCCTTCTTTCAGGTCCTTCCTGTATGTCCAAAAAACTAAATGTGCATGCAGGAGATGCACAGTATCTGCCTTTGCTTTTCTGCTCTGCTCTTTCACAGTATAACAGGCATCTGACAGCTCACTCATGCACTCTATCATCTCCCTGTTTCTCCACATAAATGTGCACAGGTGTGCAAACACCTGCATACATATGTACATTTTTTCTGCCTCAGCTGATGGAGAAGAAATGACTACCATTTCAAAGCACAAAGCCCTGTGGTTTGAAGGAGTCATGTAATCTTGTTTGTGTAGGTGGCCAAGGATCAAACTGTTATTACCCCAACTACACTCACCAGGTGAAAGGTCTTGAAAAATGCTACTTCACAGCTCCGCATCTCTTTGCTCCTATGAACTTCACTGTGATCTCAATGCCTTGGACAGTAGCTTGTCACTTAGTTCAGGCTTGTTCTGTGCATAATATACTGGGTACCTAATCTCTGAGTGCTACAGGTTTTCAAAAGATAAACGGTAAGTATTGCCAGATGTACTGGTTCACATGTCTTTGATGACAACCAGTGTCCTGGTTCAGCCAGGATAGAGTAAAGTTTTCCCCAGCAGAGAGAGAAGGGGAAGGGATCTCCAGCCGGGTTATTCATACCATGCTGACGTCAGGTCCAGGGGCAGAACCTTTTCCTTGCTCCTTGGTGGGTTCGGGGGAGAATTTTGCTTTCTGTAGACCAGCTAGCCGTTTTTCTCTGTATATCGTTTGTCTTGTTCACTGTTATTGCTATTTATTGTTGTTACCATTGATGATGTTGTTATTCAGATTGTTCTATCACTCTGTTGTATTAAATTTCTTGTTATTTTAGCCGGGGTCTGTGTCTTAACTTCCAGCCTGACCGGCACAGGTGGGGGAGGGGCAACGGCCACGTGGTCCCTGATCCCGGCAACGATTAAAACTTGCCCAACCAGCCATATTATTCATCAGGATTGAAGACTAATTTAGTTGTACACTAATAGTTGTGAAATCACCACGCCTGGCAGGTAATAAAGGAGACTGAAACACATGTTCAATAGCTTACTCAAATGACTTACTTTGGGATTTAGATACCAAGTTTTCAGTGCTGTCATATATGCTCATCATTATCTTCACACACATAATCAACTAACAGATGACACATGGGATCCACATCTGTAAAGCCAGGGTGTACTGGCAAGGTTTAGGTAGCCAGACATGCTGCAGGGTTGCAGGAAGAAACAGGCTGCCCTGTATCAGGCACAACGGGCTCCAGCTGGGTACAAAACAGACCCACCATAGGACACAGCTGAGCCCATGCTCGTGAAAATATCTTGAAGAAAGGGTAAAAATTTCTGCAGGACAGCTGTGAGAGGAGTAGGAAAAATATAAGAGAAACAGCTCTGCAGATCAGAGAAGGAGGCTGTGCTTCAGAGCAGAGATTCCCCCGCAGCCCGTGGTGAGGCAGCTGTGCCCCTGCAACCCGTGGAGGTCCATGGTGAAGCACATCTCCACCTGCAGCCCGGGGAGAAGCCCACACCAGAGCAGATGGAGATGCCTTGAAGGAAGCTAGAGCCCCATGCAGAAGCAGGCTCCTGGCAGGAGCTGCAGCTTATGTTTAGGAGCCTATGCAGGGGAGCACGTTTGCTGACAGGACCCACGCTGGAGCAGTCTGTTCCTGAAGGACTGCACCCCAGGGGAAGGGCCCATGCTAGAGCAGAGGAACACTGCAGGATGAAAGAGCAGCAGAGGAAGTGTTATGGACCGACTGTGACATCCATCCTCCACCCCCCTGCACTGCTGGGGAGGAGACAGTAGAAGAGTCAGGAATGAAGGAGTGAAGTTGAGCCTGAGAAGGGAGGGGAAGGGCAGTTTATTTTTGTCATTGTTTCTCATCATCCTACTCAACTTTTAATTGGCAATAAATTAAATTGTCTCTGAGCCTATTTGGCCTGTGACAGTAATTGTTAACTGATCTCCCTGTCCTTATCTCAACCCATAAGCTTTCCCACTGTGTTTTCTCCCCCACCCTGTGGAGGGGAAGTGACAGAACAGCTTGGTGTCTATCTGGAAGGCAACCAGACAAGGTCAAACCCACCACTCATGGAGGCAGTAACGCAGGAGAGGCAGAAGGCAATTTCCTGCTTCAGCCCTAAGAGCTACTGCTGCACATGCAGAGAAGGCCCAAACCTGGAAAAGAAGACCCTGCCTGAGCCCTGTGCCTTGTACACACATGGAGCAAGACACCTAGGGTACGCCAAGCTGGGCAAAGGTTAGCAAGGAGGTCAGGAGGAGCTGCTCTATTGCCAAAGCTACAGACAAGATGGACTGTCTTCACAGATGTAGTGGCAAGGCACAGAAATGGGGCAAACAGGCTCCTCCTCCGTAGCTGCACAGCAATAGGACGTGAGGTAGAAGGCACAGGCTGCAACAAGGGAAAAACAAAAAAAAGATTTGAAAAAAAATTTGACATTTCCATGGGAATACTCAACCCTTAGAAGGGGTAGCACAGAGAGGCTATCCAACTTTGGGAATATTCAAAACTGAACAAATCCCAAGCAATCTGATCAAAGTTGTTTCTGGTTTCAGTGGATGCTGGGACCTGACAACCTCTAGAGGTCCCTTCCAATATGGAGTACTCCCGACATCACAAACATCCCATGATCTGTATTGGTAAGACACTCAAAATGGAAAGATAAATGTTCTGTTCGCAAAGTACACAGTCCACACATTTAAATTCATTTTTTTTAAAAAAGTCTTATTGCTTTATTTAGATTTTGACATAGCCCACTTAGGTTACTGGAAGTCCTGTTGAAGATGTATATAGAAGTAACTGATTACATTTTAGCTTAAACCAAATACACTAAAATAACGGTAGAATTCAGCCTGAACAATTAATAAACTAAACAATTTTAGCTTTGTCTAAGAAAAGCAATCACTCTACTATGCATCTTCTGGCTTTTGATTTGGGCTCCATTTTTGCGACTTGTTTTAAAGCAAAACTTTGAAATAGTCCATGGATATATTTTACATACTACAAGAATACAGGATGGCTTTATGAAATCAGAACTTCCAGTCTTCTGAGAAGATTTAAGTACTAGTAATATTCTATCTTATTTGACTCAAAAGTGCATACACATTAAAAGGTTTTTACACATTTCCCAGACATCTTTTAGCATACATGGATCACATCAGGTGTTTTTGTTCTCAATGGGAAAAAAGTACTTAAAAAAAATTAATTTTAAAAAGTGTTCCATGGAAAGTGTGCTACATTTTTTCTTCTGGGAAATCAAACCAAGAGGATCTGTTGACAAGTGTCTTTGGCAGTCTTAGTATCAATGGTTGTCTCTCTGGACACTCTAGGAAGGAAGTCCTTGGGGAAGGCAGTTGACTGGAAGGCGCTGCTGGTGCTGCTTGACTGTAGCTGGTTACAGTTTCTGTGCGAGGGGTATTACTCCTGGTATCTGCTGTGGTAAGACCCTGATCAGCTGCTGTTTCTCGAAGTTCAACATCAGCATTTCTAATGCCACCATCTAAGCCTCCCTTTCTGGTAGGAATATTGCACTTTTTGACTACTCCTCCAGTTTCTTCACCAACTCTGTAAACATCTTCACATCCTGTCTTTCTCAGACAAGAAGATGGAGACTCGTTTTCCCTCTCATTTATCTGAGTTGTGCCTGTCCAAGTAATACTGCTATCACGTTCAGTACTTTCTGGTTCCTTGCTACTATCACTATCAATTGTAATCACAACTGGAGAAGAATATGCCGAGTTACTCATGTGACGTTTCCGGTGTTTCTTCTTATGCTTTTTCTTTTTCTTTTTAAGATGCCTTGCAGTGTCTGTTGCTTTTCCTTCATAGACTATCTCCACACTCGGACTCCTCACCTTTTTTTTCTTTTTCTTACGCTTTGTCTCACTGCTTGCTCGATTGTCTGAAAGGCTATCTTCATTTTTGAAGTAGTCACTGAATTTTGAGGAAGTTTTCTTGGGTTCATTTTCTCTTTCTAGACTTGTGCTCTCCATGGATGCATTTTCCAAATGGCGAGTTTTGTACTTCCTTTTTCCACCAGGCTTTTCACTTTTCATTCTGTCAGTTCCTCCAGAAGGGGTCCTTGACCTATTGCTTGATCGACTCCTTGACCTGCATTTTTCATAACAGTAATAGTGTCTCTCACGGAGTCCCCTCTGGCCATGTGGATCTCTCCTTTCAATAAATGATCGTATCCTGTATTCTGGACTATCAGATTGCCTTGAATAGAGGACATTAGACTGATTCCTCCTCCTGCTGGAGGATTCATTGTCATCTCCGAACACCTTCTGACTACAGAAAGCATAGCTCCACTGGCATCTACTTTGATAACTGTCTCTTACATAGTAACGATCACTGTCTCTGCTTCTTGATCTCCTTTTGCCATGGCCTTTGCTACGTGATCGTGATCTGCTTATTTCTCTGGATGGAGTGCTCTCATGACTTAATGAGCCTCTCTGGCTTTTTAGAGACACTCTGGTGTCATGAGCTCTTGATCGCCTGCTGCTTCTTTTGCTCCTATGTTTGCTACTATCTCTGCTTCTCGATTGTCTCCTTCTAAGTTGGCTTTTGCTACGATGCTCCCTCCTAGACCGATGGCCATGACTGCGACTGCTCCGTGAAAAGGACTGTGGGCTCCTGGACTTTCCCTTTCTAGACAGCCTGTGATTCCAAGGGGAGCATACTGTGTCGCTCCCCAGAGAGGGGCTCCAGCTCAAGTCCTGTGGAGACAAATCTTTTACTTTACACTTGTTCTTCTCATCTTTTGACTCTGTCTTCTCAACTGCAGGAGATAAGCAGCTTCTACAACTACCTACATCCTCCTTATACATGGGGGAACATGGCGATAAACTCCTGCTTGGTTCACTATCACTCCAGCTGCGACACTGGATTGGTTGCTGTTTCTTCACATCTTCCCTTTTCTCTTCCTTGATGGACTCCTCAGTGTCCGAGGACAGCTCAACCACTTCTGGTGTCCTCTCAGCTAATGGCTTAACATACCCAACAATAACACAATTGTCTGAGGAAGAATCACTGTTGTTCAAATCAGCATCAGCCTGTAACTGAGCTTTCAGTTTGGTTCTTCGACTCTGTGTAGCAGAACCCTCATCAGAACTTTCTGACGTCTCCAGAGGAGAAGCTATGGTTGCACGAGCCTCTTCTGAAATGGAATAGGAAGGCCCTGGAGTTTCATCGTCCCAGGGGGCCTGACCAAGACCAGTCACAGACAAATTGTTATCTGGCCCTTGAGAATATGCCATATCTGGAGATATTGTAATAATTGATGAGTCTGAGTGGCTTCCTTCATCATATGATGGTGCAGGACAGTCATAATTTGCATGTTGATCATATGCCTCTAAGTTAAAAGGACAGCGGGCAAAACTGATGAATTCATGTAAGAAGTGTTCAGTCCGATTCAGCAAAAATGGCTTTAGATCGTCAGCAAATGCCTGACTTTCCAGATCATACCTAGTCACATTACTCATAATTATGTGCTGCACAATATTAACCAAAGATCCATGGGCACCAAGCAGGACTGTAAGTTCTCGCTTCAACCAAGGAACCAACCTATGAAGGCAAGCAGGGTTGCGGCGGAAAAACTCTGCTGAAATGTCTCGATAGCGGCCACCATCCTGAATACTACGAATACGCACACCACTGCGGTACAGAGCTCTGCGGAAGTTGATCATGTCCTCCTCCTGAATCTGCTGCAGAGATATGCCCTCTGCGCTAGCCTGCCTCCTTGAGGCCAGACTCCTTATCATATGCTGAATCTCTTCAACTCTCTGCCGCACTGGTTCATTAGACAACCCTTCAAACAATACCCCGTTATCTGGAGGTGACAGTGTCCTTCTGGAAGGAGAACTGCCAGCGCGGCGCTCTCCTGTTAAGGTAGTACGGTAACGAAATCTCCGGCCATCAGGGCTTGCAAAAGAGCTATGTTCAGATGGGCTGAGTATATACTCTTTAAAATCATCTTCAGCACGAATTGTATGGAAAATGGAAAAAAAGGGTTGCTTGCAGAGGGGGCATTCTGCTTTATTTTTTGACCACTCCTGGACACAGCGAAAACAGAACCTATGCAAGCAGCGATCAAGATACGCCACATTGTCAAATCTATCCAAGCAGATGGGGCATTTAGAGTCAGGAGATGCATCTGTTGGCAGCTTGCTGGTGCCAGCTTTTGGCGAAAAATTGCTGTCTTCTGAAAACTCCTTATCTGCTGAAGTCATGTTCTAGAAAAGAAAGACACAAAAGATCGTCGCTATCTCAGAGAGACAAAAATATTAAAGTTTAGAAACAGAAACCCATAACAGTCACCTTCAAGGCTGCAAAACCCCATGTTGGTACTGAGAGAACACCGAACAAAGAGGCAGCACAACCTAACTGCTTCGCTTCTTTTCACAGTGAGATCTGGCTCTTCAGGGTTGCAAGTTTTAAACAGAGCTTGAATAATGCTGGCATATTTGAAGGAAACAGGCAGGACTCTGTCTTCCACCCCACTCACAAATAACTGCTTTGATGTAGTAAATTTATGATTAACTTGGTATCCTTTGAAACACACTTCCAGAAGAGACCAGTGTTTACCCATGAAAAATATGAGACCATATTTTGACAAAAGTCAAAACAAGTAATTGGACTAGAACTAAACTATCAGTGTTCAAGTTCTGCTGGACCTGTCCTGCTCCTGCACTCCCTGCCCATTAGCATGAGCATCTGCATGTGCCTCTGCTGGGCACTCATGCTGGACCACATACAGCTTCTTGGACTGAGCAACGTTCAGGGACGTTTTCCAGCCTAAATTAGTCTTTGATTTTAGGACTGAAGCAGAAACAGCCAGGTGTCATTCCTACACCCATCCTTGGGTACATGGCACCTTTTTATTCAGCCAGGCTGTCAAGCATGACTAGGAATAAATCCACCCATTTTGAAGTTATTTTTGGTATCAGCATTATCCTAAGGCATTACAACACAGTGGAAGTAAGTTACCGTGCTGCTTCAAAACTCGGTAGCCCATGTTTTGCAGCAAGCTCAGAAGCGTGTCGTAACCGCCCACCGGATAGCAGGCACGAAGTCTGCCGTGCAGGCCAGCGAGACACACGCACAAACGGACGGTCGGGCACACACCGGGGCACGACCGCACGGACGCCCGGGGTGTCACGGCGCGAGGTGGGGG